TCTTGCCTGTAGGCCACCAGAGCGAGGCAAATTAATGTAGGTGACTAGGTGTCTTGAGTGAAAAAAATCAAGACTCACATGTAAGCCAAAACCAATTAAGATGAGGCAAATTCATTTCTCTCACTAGATGTGAGTTGAGCCGAGAGGGTAGTGCCTGAGAGGCATGTCCAGTGCCCCTTGTTGCCCGCCCCTGATGATCCTTCTTGGAAGCCTAAGGTGTTGGATCCTGTGGGGCTTTGAGTCCACATTTCAAGGAGCAAGAAAGGCTTCCTTGGGTGGTTGCTAAAGTTATTTCTCTTAAATGATGAGATAGTATGTGAATGGCTATATTATCATGAATAATAAATCCCCTCGCTCCCAGAAACCTAATTTTAGTTGAGAACAGGAAGTAAATGTAGCAGCACCCGTGGTCCCGAGTCTCTGCTGCTTTTCCTTCTTTCAAATAACAAAGTGAGCAGCACATAAGCAAGAAAAGGAAGAGAACAGTAATGGCGTAATAATGAGTCACTCGGTGAAATGTCTTTTCCTTAAAGGCAGCCTTCTTTATCATCCATGCATTCACTCGTGCATGTTTGTTGGATGCCTCCCCTGAGTAAGTCATAATGATGAAGGTGAGAGGCGGGAAGTAAGAGTTCTAGGTGAACGGATAGGCCAGCAACACTGTACTATGGTAGGATGACGCCACGCCCCCTGCTGTAGAGAAGAGACTGACTCATTGCGAACTTCTGTTGGGTTTTTGAGCTTCTGTCAGTCTTCATGAGAGGAGACTGCTCATCTTTAGCCTGTGGAGCAGCTGGTAGATTCAGACTGCTGCCGTTTCAATTCCCAGCCCAACACATTACACACTAGGGCCACCAAGATGCCTTATTAAATGTTTTTGTTGTACACCATGGAGTCAGATGTGACCCATAGACGACCCTCCAGTAGCTTTTCAGAGGCTGAACTCGCTCGGGAGATTGTCCATCCTTCTCCTGTGGCAAAGCTGGTGGATTCCAACTGCATGCCTTTGGGATTACAGTGCAGATTGTTACCACTAGGCCACCAGAGCTCGCTAGTAAAGTAAGGTGAGGTGAGGTGACGTGAGGTGCCTAGAAGATATGTCTGTACCATGTTGTAAAGTGGTAGCCATAAACCTTTGGTACAGAGGACAGAAATGGCAGGCATCACAATAGACATGATGTTTGAGGTACCTTTATGAGCATTAGTTTAAGGGTTTTTACAAGTGATTGACCTTTATTTTATTTCTACATTGTAGGTTTAAATATTCTAGGAAGTCAAGGTGGTGGTTGTTTTCTGTCAAGTTGTAACTGACTACTCACAGCTGACCCCCTAGGGGGTTTTCAGGGTCTGTAAATGGAGTGAGAGGAGATTGTCCATCCTTCTCCCATGAGCGTCTGGTGGATTTGAGGGCCTTTGGGGTTGGCAGTACTATCAGGTCACCAGAGCTCCTTAAATCAGGGGTGAATAGCTATGATTCAATATTAGACTTTGGACAGGTATGATGGCATATCAGTTGACATATTTCAGCTAACAGATGCTGCCCTGGACGTGCTCACCAAGTTGTGCCAAGAAATCTGGAGAAAAACCACTTGGCCAACTGACTGGAAGAGATCTATATTTCTTCTCATCCCACAGAAAGGTGGCCCAACAGTGTGGAAACTATAGAACAATATCATTGATTTCACATGCAGGCAAGATTCTACTGAAGATTATCCAAAAACGCCTGGAACAGCACATCAGCAGAGAACTGCCAGAAGTCCAGGCTGGGTTTAGGAGGGGTCGTGGTACTAGAGATATTGTAGCTGATGTTAGATGGATCTTAGCTGAAAGCAGGAAATACCAGAGGAATGTCTATCTGTGTTTCATTGACTATGCAAAGGCATTTGACTGTGTGGATCATAACAAACTGTGGCTGACTCTGAGAAGAATGGGAATCGCAGAACACTTGATCGTGCTAATGCGAAACCTATACTTGGACCAGGAGGCAGTCGTCAGAACAGAGCAAGGGAACACTGCGTGGTTCAAAATTGGGAAGGGCGTATGCCAGGGATGTGTCCGTTATGCAGATGATACATCCCTGTTTGCTGAAACTGAGGAGGACCTCAAGCACTTGTTGCAGAGGGTCAAGGACTGCAGCCTCCAATATGGATTGAGGCTCAATGTCAAGAAGACAAAGATTCTCACCACTGGAGCAATTGGCAGCATCAAGATGGATGGTGAAGAGATTGAGATTTTTCACAACTTTAGTTTGCTTGGCTCCACAGTCAACACTCTTGGCACCAATAACTAGGAAATTAAAAGGCACATTTCCATGGGAAAGTCTGCTGTTAGGGACCTTTCCAAAGTACTGAAGAGCAATGGTGTCTCTCTGGAGACTAAGGTGCGTCTAATACAGACCATGGTCTTTGCAATCACTTGTTATGCATCAGAGAGTTGGACAATGACTAGGGAGGATAGAAGGAGAATTGATGCCTTTGAGCTGTGGTGCTGGAGAACAGTATTGAGGGTACCATGGACTGCTAGGGAAACAAACAGATTCATCCTGGAAAGGGTTAAACCGGGTGGCTCCTTGGAGGCAAGGATTCTGAGGCTCCATCTAGCATACTTTGGACATCTTGTAAGGAGGGACCGGTCCTTGGAGAAGGACATCATGCTTGGGAGGGTGGAGGGACAGCGCAGGAGGGGAAGGCCCTCTATGAGGTGGACTGATTTAGTGACTGGGGTAATCGGCAATCGGGATGAGTGTGTCAGAGACAGTAGAATTGGCACAGGACAGAGCAGAGTTTAGGGCTGTTGCACATAGGGTCGCTATGAGTCGCAAGCGACTCCACAGCACATAAGAACAACAAAATCAAATAGATAGGAGGAGTTGTAGCAGAAGGTTAAAATTCCTAATTAATCCCTAATAGCACTTTCTTTCTATATTTCCTCCTCTCTCTTTCTTTCTTTCTATATTTCCTCCTTCTCCTCCTCGTCCTCCTCGTCCTCCTCGTCCTCCTCCTCCTCCTTCTCTCTCTCACACACACACACACCAGTACAAGGAAAAAAAAAATAGATGTGATTTTTCTTTGTCTCAGCAATGCTACCGTTTGCAATACTTTCTCACAGAAGATATATTTGGTTGAACTCGCCTGTGCATGTCCAAAGACATTCGTCCAAACACTGAGTATATAAATATGTGCACGCAAGATGCATTTAGAGGTTCACTAGTAATTAGAGCAGGTAATTGCAGGTTTCTCTTTAGTACAACATATGTACGAGCTCTCTTTCTTTTAAGAATCTTTAACTTGAAAGGGGAAAATTTGCACTTGTGACTATTTGTGATTCTGAAGGAGAAAGCTTGGTTAGTTAGCATTACATTTGGGTTGATTTGCACTGGTTTCGTAATTGACTTACCTAAGAAATAGCAATTGTGACTGTACCACAAAGGAAGAAGGACTGACTAGGGGCGTTTTTTAAATTCCTTGGATGAAATTCTTTAGATTTCTTGTGAACTCTGAATCCTTGGTGAAACTTTTAGATCTGGTGGCCAAGTGGTAAGGAGCTGTGCTGCCAGCCCAAAGGCAGACAGTTTGAATCCACCAGCTACTCCTTCCTTACTACCTCTGAAACTCTACTGGAGGGTCGGCTGTGAATTGGTTCCAACTTGAAGATAAACAGCAACAACAAAGTCACAGGGAGCTTGGATGCCTAGTCCATAGGGGGTTGCGCTGCTGACCCAAAGATGGAGGGAGAAAGACGGGTAGCCTCCTCCTGTGTGCTTCACCACCTCGGAGACCAGCAGGAGGGCCAGCAATGCACTGATGCAACAGCATGGAACTTTTTCCGTTTCTAGACATCAGACTTATTTTATATGCAGAAACATTTGAACAAGTTTACTTTTTAAAAAGAAAATGAATATTAATCATCTTCCTCTGGCCATGTTCTTGCAGATGTCATATTGTTCCTGAGATCTTTATAGTTACTGTCAACTTTTCTGTAGCTGTAATTAAAAGGCTTATGAAAGCAGTCTTTGTGTCACTTGATTTTATTGTTTGCCTTACCTTGAAGAATAAAGGGTACATTCTACACTTGCAGCAAGAGCGAAATTCCTTGTTCCATTAACTCTTTTCTTACGGTAATTTAATGTACTTAAAGATGTCAATTCCTATTCAGATGTTGTCTTAGTCATAGTCCTTGTTGTTGTTATGTGCCTTCAAGTAAACTGTATATCTTTAGAAACCACATGAACAAGGGCTCTGAACCCTGCCCTTTCCTATACCCTCCTCACCATGTCCAACACACTTGACCCCATTAATGCAGTCTTTGTGTCCAGCCATCTCATTGAGGATTTTCCTTTCTTTCTCTGCCCCTTCACTTTTCCAAGCATGACATCCTTCTCCAAGAACTGGGCTCCTTACAACATTCCCAAAGTATGTGAGATGGAGTTTCACCATCCTTGCCTTCAAGGAGCACCCTGATTTAGCTTTCTTCAGAACAAACATGCTTGGGGTTTTTTTGGCAGTCCATGGGATATTCAGTACTCTTCTCCAACACCACAATACAAAGGCATTGACTCTTATTCTGTCATCTGTATTCATTGTCTGGCTTCCAGAAGCATAGCATATAATTGAAAAGACCATAGCTTGGATCAGGTGCACCTTAGTCGTTAAACTGACACTGTTGCTCTTTAGTTCTCTGGAGAGATCCCAGATTTTTCCAAGGAAACTGATCATGGCTAATACCAAGGGTGTTGATTGTGGATTCAAGTAAGATGCAATTGTTGAAAACTTTAATTTTTTTCTCCATCTATCATGATGTTGCCTATTGGCCCAGTAGTAAAAATTTTTGTTCTCTTGATGTTGAGATGCAATTCATATTGAAGGCTATAGTCCCTGATCTGCAGCCAGCTCTTGATTCAAGTCATCCTCACTTTTAGCTGTTATATAGTATTCTGATATATCACATACTTTTACAATGAAAATGTATAACAATAATTTTCTTCTGTTTCTTTAACAGGAATCATAGCCCATTAATGAGTTTTGGAGCCAGCTTTGTCAGTTTTTTGGTAAGTTGATGTGGGGATAAGTCTCTTCTGTCTCTTTGTGGTGACTACCATAGAGATGCACTATTGTAGAAGATTTCTTGTAGTTAAAAATTAAAGTAATGGTTTTGCCTGTTAGCTGATGTCTATTATGTAACGACTCTTCCCCAGTTTTAAAAAGTAAATGCTTATACATTAGTTCTTTGTTATTGTCAGGTACCATCAAATTGGCCACAACTCAGAGATTCTCTGAAAAAGAATGAAATGCTTCATGACCATGGGCCACTCTCACAGTCTCTGCTCTGCATTAAACACATTGTTGTGTCATTGTGTCCATCTGCCTTAGTTCTAGAATATTCTTTATTTCCCAACCAAAACCTTCTTAGAATAAATATGTGACTGAAAGACCTCTCCTCAAATTGGCATTGTAGATCATTAGAAGGAGAAAAATGAAATCTGAGTTTGGGGTTTAATAATAATAATAATAATAATAATAATAATAATAATAATCAACTAACTTTGTTCAAAGATTATTAGGTAAATGCAGACTGGCAGACAAGTTAGATTCACAGAGACAGTGTTATCATTTTAAAACTATTACTTAGGAATTGAGGTTACACTTTAAATTGAATGGTGTAGAAAGTTGAATGCTTTCATTTTTTCAGAGCTGTGTAACTTTACACAATTATTAGAAATTATTAGAAACTTTACACAATTATTAGAAATAGAATTTTTTAAAATTCCCAGAGTTCTACAAATGCCAGCAACAAACAATAGGGAAAAAAGTCCTGGGTGGAGACAGAGAGAAGTAAAAGGGAGAAGTTTAGATTTTTGATGTGAGGAAGATTTTAAGAAACAGGCATATGGTTCTCGGGCTGCCAGCAGCTGATGCCAGTAATTGCCCCAGTTTCTGGTGTATTGGAGATTTCTTTCAGGCTAATTCATTTCTTCTTTCACCAGTTACTATAACAGAACTTTAAGCTTTGCTAGTTCCAAAGTGTTTGTCCCTGGGTTTGTCCCCGCAATGGTTGGTTGAATCTTCCCACTGCACCACAGAAGAAAAGCCTGGCATTCTGCTCCTGTTTCTCAGCCATTGAAAGCTCTGTGGTGCACAGTTCTATTCAGACATGCATAAGAGCTGAATCAAAATCATCTCAATAGCTAGGAGTTTACAGGCCTCCCCTCCCAGGCATAGTGGAATCAGCTCCAGACACCACAATATCATAATAAAGTGAAATCACCTACATTTTTCTTTTTGTTGTTTCCAAGGGCAAATAAAAGTCATGTCTTCCTATAATATAGTCTTTTGACTGTGCTATATATAGCATTTAAAAAAATGAATATTAAGGGAATTACCAAAATGTGACACATATACAGAAAGTAAGCACACACTATTGGAAAAAGGCAGGGTTGCCACAGACTGCCAAACTTTTTTTTCTTTTCTTAAAAGCAGAATCTTTGTAGTGCAAGAAATTGAAGCATAATCAAATGAAATACTTGTGTACTTGCAAGAAAATATAATTCTTGACATCCAAGGAAAGATACTTAGTTTGAGAGCATAATATTAGTACCTGGTTAGGTATAACGGCCTTTAAAGACAGCATAAACTGTGGATCATGGCTCTGTGGAGCTTGGGGTGTGGGAGGAAGACCATGGCATCTGAGTCAGGGTTGAAATCTGAGCAGCTTTAGAGGTTTTGCTGGGAAGATGAGTGAAACAGGGAAGGTCAGGCAGAAGTGGCAGTGGTCTGGCTTGGCTAAAATGGGAAAGCAGAAAACAGAGACCCACCACCTAGAGTGGAAAAGTGGGTCTAGCTGAGCGGCATAGGAGGTGGAAAGCCAGGCTCAGTAAGTTCACCAGGTCTTTCTGTGCACAGGAGTCCAGTCACGACTCTGCCATGCCCCATCACCCACTCAGCTCAAACATCAGTCCTTTTACTGCATACAAGTAGCAAGTTTTTAACAGAAATGGGATTGTCCTTTCTAGGTCAAATATGGCTTAAAAAAAAAACACACACACCAAAAAACTACCAGGATCAGATTCCCAGAACCCAGCCACCAAGAGAACTTTTTAGAATAAATTCTTTATGAGTGGGATTGCTGTTTCTGAAGACTGATGTTCTGAGAATTCCTCCTAGCTGCGGTTTCATTAGAATTTCTATGCTGGACTTGGTGGGGCCAGGGGGAAACGGGTGGACAGACTGGACTTTGGTATAAACATAACTGAGTGGACCCGTTAGAAACTCTACAGGGTTATTTATTGTTGCTAAGCTTAACAGCAAAAATGCAATTGTAAAATAATAATAACTGAAACACTTGTTACTACCTATTTTTATTCTGACTTCCTAGAGGTATATTGTTATTTTATATTGAGATGATAATTTAAGATGAATAGGGTATGCTATAACATTATGATTATTTGACTTGAAATAATCCTAAGTGATTTTGAAATAATGTCTGTTATATCTCCCCTCCCCCAGTTTGGATTTTTGTTGTAATAAGTTGTCTGAAATTTCCAGATATTTAATGATTCATTCGTTCTCTCTTATTTTGGGGAAGAATGCCATGATGACATTTGAGGAAGAAAAAATGCAGTTGGCCTGTGATGACTTAAAAACTACGGAAAAGCTGTGTGAAAGTGAAGAGGCTGGAGTGATTGAAACAATCAAGAATAAGATCAAGAAGAATGTACGTGCTCTGTCAGAGTTGTGAGCTGTGTGACACCTGTTTAAGACATTACTCATGGACTGTGTGTGGGCTACTTGGATATGACTCCAAACAACACTGAATGTCTCTTGGTGGCTTTTGATTATGTAGAATATATTACAATAGAAGTCCCCTTTAGTCATCAGAGGGCTTTTCACATTTTCCTTTTTATTGTGATTTTAATGAAAAGCTTACAGAAAAGTTGGATTTTCATTCATTCATTCATTGTTGCACATTTTCCTCTCTTCTCCCTCAGTTCACTTTTTCTTTTTTTAAAATATGTTCATTTATTGTTGCACAATTCCTCCTTCCCCTTATCCGATCCTTCCCCCGGTCCACTTTGCAATGCACCTCTTATTCTGAACTGATGCCATACAAATAGTGCCTATTCATATATTCCTTTTAAACAGCTCTTTCTTTTATCTGTTCCAATTCAGTCTTCATTTCTTACCTTTCTTTAGTTTCTCCCAATCCCCTGATGTCAGTCCTGTTTTATAACAGTAGTTTTATGCAGTATTTGTCCTTTTGTTACTGAGATATTTCACTCAGCATAATGTCCTCCATGGTCATGTGTGTTGTGTAATGTACAAGTTTCTTGTTTTTTAGTGCTACATAGTACTCTATTGTGTGAATAAATCATAGTTTTTCTATCCATTCATTTATTGATGGGCATTTGTGTTGCTTCCATCTCTTTGCTATTGTGAATAACTTGGCAGTAAACATGGGTGTGCATATATCTGTTTGGTTGACAGCTCCGGTCATCAGAGTTTTTAAACATTTGTATGTTCTTTCCATATCATCAGGTGTTATTACAAACAAAGAAATGGAAGCAGAAGTAGTGCTTGTAGAGAAAAATAGCGACCATAGTGGATTATATTAAAATTTGGGAAAAGGGCAGCATGTTGCTCTTTCAGGTATAATAATGTTGTTATATGCCGTAGAGTCAGAATCAACTTATAGCTGACCCTCCAGTGGGTTTTTGGAGTCTGTAAATTGCACAGAAGGAGATTGCCTATCATCCTTCTGTAGAGTAACTGGTGGATTTGAACCACCAGACTTTGAGGTGACAATACTACTCCTTACTACTAAGTCATCACAACTCCCTTTGTCTGGTGTACAATGTGCATATTTGCAAAAAAATATTGAAGAAATGTCTCTGATTGCTTCTTGTCTTGTGGTGCAGGCATGATGTTGGTAAAGTAGACTGTATATTAACAGTGTGTAATGTTCTGTTGTAGTTACTCATCTTCATTTTATAAACATTCTGCATGATAAAGACCAATGCTTTATAAAAAGCGGGTTTTCTTAGTTTGACTTTTCCCTCCCCTTCTATGACTTTTATGGGTTTTTTTTCCTCATGCATTATGTTTTCTAAAATTAATCGCCATTGGACCTTGCCCATCATCACTCTGTCTCAACCTGGATCCTTTCCATTTAGAGGCAGCCACCTTAGCAGTTATGGCTCATGTTTCAAATTCAGTTTGTGATTTATTCAAATTCCAGGGTTGTTTTCTCCATAGCTGAAATGTCACCAGTTCTGAAACATCTCAGTTGCATGTACTAGGGGAATACACTCTTGTCCTAGTCCTACTTGAAGGTAGAAGTCACACAGGTGGTAGGTTCTAGCCTTTGTTGTTGTTGGGTGCTGTCAAGTTGGAATCTACCAATGATGAATTTTCAGGGGCAAATAATCACAGGGGAGGAGATTTCGCACCCTTCTTCCGAGGAGCCTCTGGTCAGTTTGAAGCACATACTTTCAGAATTGCAGCACAGCTTCTTAGCACCAGGTTACCAGTGATTTTCAGTTTGGATAAGTAAGAACCGATTTAAAAAAAAAAAAAGAAAAGAAAACTCTATGGTTCTGTATTTGTTTCCACCTGCTTACCAGGAGTTTGATTTTCATCATTTAGCAGGTTTGTCATATGTCACAGCATTCTTCAGCACTGTTCCCCTTAACAAGACAGGGCAGGACCACCTGGGAACATGGAATTGCCATCACATGTTGTCAGATGGATCTTGGTTCTGCGTGACAGCCATATTTCACAGTTTCTGTGTGACTTATTTGGAACAAAGATGTGGTTTTCTGGAAAGCCTCTTGCTCTTGTGTGTGATCTAATGTGTATGTTTTCATTCCCCCAAACAGGTTGATGTCCGAAAATCTGCCCCATCCATGGTCGATCGACTTCAGAGGCAGATAATCATCGCTGATTGCCAAGTGTACCTGGCTGTGCTTGCTTTTGTAAAACAAGAATTATCAGGTATGCAGAAGCATTATCTTTAATGGCTTACCCTATTCGGTGGCCACATCATTAATATTCCTTTTCTAATGCCTGTGTCTCAGTCTTTGAAAGCATCTGGTTCCTAGTCGGGTCCTGGTCATCAATATATTACTTGAGAGATTGGAACTGTAGTCCTTAATTTCTGATTATTGGTATAATTTTAGTCCCAGAATCTGTTTTTCTTCTTCTTTCAGCTAATTCTGTCCTGTGGTTATTGGGTGCCATTGAGTTGACTTTGACTGATAGTGTGACCCCATGTGACAGAGCGGGTTTGTCCCACAGGGTGGACTTGTCCCCTACAGAAGCAGATTGCCTGATCTTTCTCTTGTTGAGCTACTGGGTGGGTTCCAACTGCCAAAGTTTTGATTGGTGGCCACGTGCTCAACCACTGCATCACCAGAGCTCATTAAGTCTGTAATTCCTAGTGAAATTACCAGTGTATCTCCGTGTGTGTGAGCGCTAGTGGCCTAATGGGTAGGAAATTGCCCTCCAAATCCAAAGACACAGGATTTGATCCACTAGCTGCTCCAGTGGATAGAGATAGCCAGTCTCCTGAAGTGCTGTTTACGGCCTCTGAAAATACAGTGGAGGGTCAGCTGGGGGTCGGTTATGACTCAGTGACAATGAGTGAGAGATGTATTTGTCAACGTGTAGTACTTTCATACAAATTGACCTGTGAAAATGACTTTTAAAGGGAAATTCAACAGGGTTAAATGTAAGATTTTGCGGAAATTATTATTGAAGGCCTGACAGTGTACAGAGACTTCTAATATATTTGAAAGACTCACATTTAAAAAACCTCCAGTGAGGGATAGAAACTAATTTCTTAATCAGTCTGCCCAAAGCCAGTGTTTTACCCCAGGAATTTATTTCTTTAATTTCTTGAGTGATAGAAACTCAATTGAGTCTTTAGTAGTGGGCTGTAAGACTGTAACTAAAAATGACATTAATTGTTTTGCTAATGTAGTTAAGGATATCTCAGAGACCAACAGCAGAGATATGCCCCTTCAGTGAATCAGATTTATTTAAAAAAGAAAAGTTAAAAAAGGAAATGGAAATTCAGAGTCAGGAAAACATTTTCTTCTAAAACCTTACATTCAAAAACAACATTGCTATTAAGTCATTATACGCATTCCTCTTTCCAGATTACCAAGAACCGTTCACTCCCCACTTTTATTCTTTTTTTCACTTTTGTGACCACAAAAATGTTGGACTACCTGAACCAAAGAAAGAAAGAATGGTCATTGAACAAAGTAAAGTTCTTAAAACAAAGTACAATCTTTAAAGTTCTTAAAGTACAGTCATAGAACATCTTTTAAAACCTATTTAAAAGTTACTCTTTTTCTCTCTTTAATCCTCCTCTCTGGGCTAGAGGGCCCATCACTCCTGTAAATCGAGTGTGAGACTCTTCCCTCCTCTGTGGAACACCACACTCTGATAGAAAAGAGCAGGGAGCTTTACCTCTTTGGACAAGACAGTAGGGCTAAATTCTTTTTTTTGACCTTGTACTTCTTCTGGGACTATTTGAGGAAGCTTATTTAGCCATTAAGAAAATGTCTGTTGAGAAAGATAAAGAATATTTAGTAAAATGTTAGAATCTGTATGAAAGATGTATATCTAGGAATTGTATTGAGTTTGTAACCTTTGTGTAAGTCCAAAATTGTGTCAGTTTTTATAAAATTAAAAATTAATGTATCTGCCATTTGTTTATTCGTGGACCCATCACTGAATGTTTACTGTCCCAGACACTATATTTAGCGAGCAGAATAGTAGGAACAAAAATAACTCTAACTCTGTAGATAGATATAGGCAGCTACCTAGCTACCTATAGAGTATATCTGTATTTACATCCATCCATTTATCTGTCTATCTTATCTAGCTAGCTAGCTAGCTACCATTGATCTATGCATCTGTCTATGTATCTGTCTATCTATCATCTATCTGTATGACTGTCTGTCTTTCTAGTTTTTGCTATATGGTGTCCAGTAGGAACTCGATTGTATGGGAGATTGCCCATCTTTCTCCTGCCAAGCAGCTGGTGGATTTTAACCATGTACATTTGGCTTTTCACCATAACCCCTTACCGTAGGCTTCCGGAGCTCTAAGTATGTTTTTGCTTGCCATTTTATATCCATATCTCTATCGACATATCTATCTATCTATCTATCTATTACTATATATTATACAAATGAAATAACAAAAATAACATCCTCATGATCTTTGTGCTCATGAAATTTAGAATCATCAATAAATGTTTTCTATTTCTAAAAACTATTCTGATTGTAAAATTAGTGAGTACTGTACAGAAAATGTAACAAGTAAAACAAAGTACCAAAAAGCATCTCACCACCAATTTTAACACTTAGAGAATGTCACCATTACTATTTTCTTTATTTCTCTGTGCCTTTTACAAAATTGGGTCTGTATTGGTTTTGCAGTACTTTTCCTGAAACTGAGTTTCAAAAAAAATAACATTTAAATAATAGTCTACAGATATACCTTAATTTCTTGAACCAGTTACCCTTGTACATTTGAGTTTTATCTGGTTTCTGTTTTTTCTCTTTTGCTTATTAGTAAGATGAACCCCTTTTTATATTTTATAAGCTCTTTCATAAATTACCATCATGCATTTTGTTCATTCTTCTAATAACCCAAAACAGACCCAATTGTAATCAAGTCGATCTGACTCGTGTTGAGTTTTGAGACTAGAAATCTTTATGGGAGGAGACTGCCCCTTTTTCTCCTGTGGAGCAGCTGCCTAGTGGATTCAGACTTCTGAACTTCTAGTTGTAGGAGTCTGACAAGTTATACACAATACCGCCAGTAAGTGTTAATTCTTCTCATAGGTTACTAGTAATTGTTTACTTCTGTTTATTTGCATTTCTTAACAGCATTCTTGGTTCATGAAACCATAGAGTTTATTGAATATAATGTTGACATTGAAAATAAAATTCTGGTAGATAAGAAAATTTCATGTTCTAATAAATGCATCCAGCAGTCATTTGCATTCAGAATAGCTTGGTTCTTGTTTCTAACAAATGTAACCAAGAATGTACACCATTTGCCTGTCATAAGCCCACTGGGTTATTAAACTACAAGTAATTTTTTTAACTTATGTTTGTACTCTATGTTTTAGACAAAAATTTAAAGTGAATAGTCTTAATTTCCAAAAACACTCCTTCCTAGAGATGTTTGTTATAAGTAAACCGCATCCCCACCCCCACCCCGCTGAATAGGGAGCTGTGGTGGCCTAGTGTTAAGAAGCTGCCTGTAATTCCAGAGGCATATGGTTTGAATTCATCAATTGCTCCTTGAGAGAAGATGGGGAATCCCCTCTCGTGTGATTTACTGCTCTGGAAACCTGCCAAAGGGTCAGCTATGAGTTAAATCTGACTAGAAGGCAAATAGCACCCACCATCACCCCTAATGAATAGCATGGCACAGTGGGGTGAGGGACAGACGCATTGACCAGAACACTGGGTAGGGACGAAATGTGATGGTTTTAATGTGTCATAATTTTAGTATTTCTTTTCTCTTTTGCTTTTTAATTTATTTTTAGTGTAATTGAAGATTTAGAAATCATACTGTATTCTTTTATAGTCTTAGAATTTATTTGTATGATATTTTAATGAAAGTTTATGAGGAACTTGGGTTTCCAGTCATTCATTATTGCACATACAATCATTTATAGACATTTTTATAACATTAATTATAATTGAGTAATGTGATTACTTAATTATAATTTCTGATCACCTTATTGTGTGTTGCCTTTTTCTTCACCTAACTTATTTCTTTTTATTCCTTTCTCCATCTCTTCCCGTCCTTATTAAACCTCATTAAACCTTATTAAAGATTAAGCCTCATTAAGCCTTATTAAAGATTGTGTCTATGCATAAACCTTTCCTTACCCTTTTCTAATAGTGGCCTAATAATGCTGTGATTGCCTTTTTGTGGCTGGCTTGTCACTCAGCATAATTTGTTCTAGATTTACATGTTGTGGAATATTTCATGAATTCTTGAGAAATATTTAGTGATGCATAATACTCCAGTGTGTGAATATAACAGGATTTCATTAGCCATTGTCCTGTTGATGTGCACTTGGGTTGTTTCCAGCATTTTGCTATGGTAAATGATGCTCCAATAAATGTGTATATGTGTATGTTGGTTTGTGTCACAGACCGGCCTTCTTTAGGCTGTTACCTGCTAGTAGTACAAACAGTTCTGTCCTGGAGAGAGTGAAACTAGATTGCTCCAGAGGACTGAAAGGTGGGGGGCGGGGAAGTCTAAGGATTTTGAAATTCTATCTCATATGCTTTGGGCAGGTTCCCAGGAGGGACCAGTCCTTGGAGAAGGACAACATGCTTGGAAGGGTAGAGGGTTAGTACAGAAGAGGAAGACCCTGAATGAGATGGATTGACACAGTGACTGTGACAGTGGGGTCAGTGTGTCAGAGATGGTGAGGTTGGCTCAGGATAGATTCAGAGCCATTGTTCATAGGGATCACTATATGTCATAGTTAACTCAGTGGCACATACAATAATAGTATTAATAGATGAAGTGTTATTTCTGTTTCTAGCTTTCTGAGGAAATGTCCATAGTGGTTGTACCATTTTACAGTCCCACCAGCAGGGTATGAGTGTTCGGATCGCTCCATCCCCTGGTTAGCATTTGTTGTCTTCCTGCTGAACGTTGTTATTGTTGTCAAGGTGAGATGATAATATCTGTGTTTTGATGTGCATTGATGTACAAGCTAATGACCTTGAGGATTTCTCCATGTGTTTATTGTCCATCTGAATATCTTCTTTGCTGAACTGTCTTTGCATGTCCTCTGGCCATTTTGTAATTGTTTGCTTTTTTCCTGTTAATAGACTTTTCTATAAATTTTAGAAATTACTCCCTTGTCAGATGTGTCATTTGGAAATATTTTTTCCTACTCTGAGTCTCCTTTTACTCTTTTAGAGATGTCCTTAGAGACAAAT